CTCGGAGCGGCCGGTTGGCATCTGCTGGGCCAGGCACGGGGCATGGATGGAGAGGAGTGCGGCGGTTGTGTTTCTGCAATAAAGGGTTTTTCCAGTAGCCCCTCGCCTCGGTCTCGCTCATTGAACCCGAGCGCTCTGGTTTGTCACGATACTTCCACCCCTACCTCTTGCTCTTGGGCTCAGCAGAGGGACAGAAGCTCACCTTGCTTGCCTTCACTGTTATACTGCTGCCTTCTTGCGTTTTTGTTAACCTGTCACAACAAAAATAACTCTGTTTTGATTACAGCAACCTTAATCCTGGCTTTTCTGGTAAGCGTTTTTCTGTAGGAAACTGGTAAAGTGGCACTGCTAAACTTACCGGACTTCTGTGGAACTTAATTGCAAGTTAGAAGTCAAGCTCGGTACCATCTTGCAAAGCAACAGCCCGCTGCTTGTGCGTTTCTGTCCTCAGTAAGGTATGCTGTAAGTGCTGCTATAAATACACCTACTTGCTGTTTTTCCTGGCAGTCACCCACACAGCGCTTGTCTCTCTCGCTTTAGAGGAGTTAGTAAATCAACCTCACTTATTTTCTTCCTCAGCTTTCCCTTCTGCCACATGACTAGCTAGAAAAATGTATTGGTTTAGGCTACTACATAATGTAAGGCTGAAAGGATGGGAATGAGCCTTAAAACCATCATGGTTCAAGGGCTGGTTTTTAAGTATGGGTATTTTCCACCTGGTAACAGAGCAGTCCTCGTTTGTGGTGTGTTTGAACCGAGTCGGGTCTGTGGCTCCTTGTCCTGTGGTCTCTGATGGGAGCGTTCATCCTTCCATGTCCTGCACTTGCTTAAGGCATGTTAGCAGCGGGTGGGATTGAGGGTTTGAGTATCCTAAAGCTGAGGAGAGCCATGCTGGAATAGGTGTTCAAATTGCTGAACTTAGGCAGAGAGTGAGGATTGCTGCTAGGGCTGCTGTCGGAAGAGTGTTTGTGGTGGTTTTTTCCCTCTCGCAGGTGTTGGTTGTGCCCTGGTCAGCTCCTGGGAGGCCTGAGATGGATTTTGTGCTCTAGAGAAAGCCCTCGTCAGTATGTGCTCGTGCTGTTGCTTGATCTAGTTCTTGATTCTCCTTTGGTGGTGGTTCAGATTCAGAGCATTGAGGAAGTCTGCACTCCCCTGATACGTGTGATGCAGCAGTGCTCTCGGGAACTAGCTGTGAGTGCAAGAAGTCCACCTCGGAGTTTATTGCTCTGGCTGCAGCTTGTTCCCCACGCAGCTTTAGCAAGGACTGAAGAGTCTTTGCTCTGGTGGCTGCCAGCCCTGACCTCTGGGTGACGGAGGCAGGAGCCATCAGCTGTGAGTTGGTGGCCAGACAGAGGTGAACTTGGGGGGGGTGGCTCAGAGCAGCTGTAGCCCTTCCTGAATATCCTTGTGGGGTCAGCGTGGCCCTTGGCCAACTGAGGAGCGAGGTGGCTTTGAATCCCCACTCTCAAGCTGATGATTGCCCTTTGATAACACAGCTTAATATTGGAGCACCAGGGTGAACTGGGGGTCGTGAAGGGCTACGTCTGCTCCCAGTGTCCCGTGAAATGAAACGGGCCAGAAGACACCACGGTAGCTGAGTCTGGTTCCCGACTGGGACAGTTCAGCTGGAAGAAAACCAGACTGAGGGATGTAGCCAGTTCATAAATTTGCAGGGAATTAATTGAAATATGCGGGCAACCCCTCCAGGCAAGGGCTGTGCCAGGCTGTCCCTTGGCTGAAGCTGTTCTGGGGTTTTTAGCTTGAGCCAGACGAGGCAGGAGACTGCTGATGGTGACTGTAATATTTCAAAATAATTTTACTTAAAATTTTATTTCTATCTTAAAAATAAACATCAGCATTAAAATATCAGTAAACAAACGTGTGAAACCAAAGCAGTGAGTACAGAATACATACAGAGCCGTGTACAGAGAGCGGCTGTGAGCATCGTATGTTAGCTTCAGTGCAAAGCCGAAACAGGCCCCCTGTGAGGACAGCAGTGTGTTGCCCAGAACAAGGGTTTTTGGGAGCGTTTCCCAGCTTAGGGAATGGCTCAGAACAGGCCTGTGTGGGGCGAGAGTGATGGTGGGGGGGAGGCTGGGCTGAGGAGCAGAAGTGGGGGCTGCGACACACGTTAGCTTTGTGAAGGATTTGGAGAGCGGAGCCGGCTTGACGTGCAAAAGCCTCTTCTTCCTCTTCCTCCCCGTCCTTAGTCCTTACCTTCTCTGTTCCCACCCCTCCTGCTGCGCACACACTCGCACAGACGCACACACGTCCTCCGACATACACATCCATCTCCGCGGGCTCTCTGAGCTCTCCTTGCCAATCTTTTTCCTGGAGCTATCCTCAGCCGCTCTCCTCCCTTTTGGGAAGGCAGGTGGGCAGAGAGCGACTTGGTTGTGGGCTCTGGCTGCCTTCTGTGGCTGTGAGACTGTTGGAAATGGGAACTGTTTAGGTGACAATTCCCAGCTTTCCCTTTGGAGAAGGTCCCTGCTCCTGGTGTGGGCTATCAGCCCCCTTCTGTCAGCTCAGCTGCAGCCCTGAGTGCCCAAAAGTTTTGCTCCCATTGAGCAAATCAAATCACCAAGTGATTTCATGTTGAACTCCATCCTTTGAATAAGCAATATATATATTTTTTTTTTTGCTTTCTGTGCACGTGCTAGAAAAAAGTTCAGATTTCAGCCAGGAAAGGAAATGCCACAGAAGAAGGGCAAGTATTTCAGTCTGGAAGCTTTCCCAGCCCGCCTCCGAGGCAGTGTTAACCAGCTGGTTTGTCTCCCCTCTCCCATCATTGCGCAGGACTCGCCTGCTGAGCACCAGCTTCCCTGCCTGCACCACGCAGCACAGCAGGGGCCAGGAGCTGATGTTCGCCCTCCCACAGCCCCGCTCCGCCACCGGATCCGCTGCCTTCCTGGAGCTGCTGGGAGCAGAAACCAGGTGTGATTTCTGCTGGGTTTGTTTTCTGCTGTTCCAGCAAGCGAGCGACTTGCAGAGGGCTCCAAGGTGGCGCAGCTCCAGCGATCGTCGTGGGGAGCAGAGGGGATGAGGCCTCGCTGCCATTTCCCACCCCAAGGTCACTTGATGCTTGGCTCCTCTGTCTCTCGGTGTCACTTGGGGCCTCCTCCAGCAGTGCAGAGGGGTGAGTGAGGCCCAGGGACGGTGCCTGCTCTAGTGACAGGAGGATTAAAGCAGCTGCAGAGCATGGTTCAGCCCACAAAGGAGTGGCAGGAGAGGGGACATAAATTACAGCCTAGTGCTGATGGTGGCCAGCGAGCCTCTGGCTGGATCTGAAGGTCACTCTAGTTTGGTTTCTTTGGGCTCCCAGGGCTTTTTGGGGCTGTTGGTGATGTCACCTGCTGCAGAGAGAATCGCAGAATCGTTTGGGTTGGAAAAGCCCTTTCAGCTCCCCCAGCCCAACCGCTCCCCTACCCCTGCCATCCCACCCCCAAACCCCGGCCCTCAGCACTGCCCCTGCCCGGCTGTTAAATCCCCCCAGGGCTGGGGACTCGACCCCTTCCCTGGGCAGCCCCTTCCAGCCCCTGACAGCCCCAAGGGGAAGGAATTGTTCCCCATGCCCAACCTCACCCTGCCCTGGCACAACTTGAGGCCGGTGCCCCTCGTCCCATTGCCTGTTACCTGGGAGAAAAGACTGACACCCACGAAATGTCACCAGAGTGACTCACTGGTCAGGGCCAGCCAGGCTGGTTCCCTGCTATCGTGGGTGCACCAAGCACGTGGCTCTCACCCCTGCAGCCCCTTCTGGGGGAGCATCATCTGTGTCACAGCCCTGTCCCCTCCCACTGGGCTGGCTGCCTGCCGTGCAGCTGAGCTGGTGGCGCGGTGCCACCTCTGTGGCCCTTGTGTGGGACAGGGCGGTGGCAGGAGCTGGGGGGCTGTGGTACTCACGGGCAGCTGCGCCTTGGTGTCATTGAGGTGGGCGTAGAGGAGCACGGCGATGTTGCTGTGGCCGGCCTCCAGCGCGATGGCAACGGCGTTATTCCCATCCTAAAAAGGAAGGGAGAGCAGTTGAGAAGAGGTCTGAGGTCAGGACGTGACACAGTGTGGGCAAGCGTGCCCAGGCCCCAGCGGCAGAGGCTTACGCTGTCCACGATGGAGATGTTGCAGGTGGGCTGAGCCAGCAGCAGCTTCACCGTCTCCACGCGGCCGTGCTCGCAGGCGCACATCAGCGCAGTTGAGCCCTCCTCGTCCTGCAGGTTCACGTCGGCCCCGCAGGCGAGCAGGGCTTCCACCATCTCCTGCCGGCCGTGGCTGACGGCCAGCATCAGCGCCGTCTGGCCAGCCTGCGAGGCAAGGGACGCTGCCAGCCTGCTCCCGCCCTGGCTGTGCCACCCGCTGCCCGGGGAGGGACCGCTGCTGTCCCCAGAGCCCCCCCAGTCTCTGAGCACGTCTGTGGCTGGGGATGAGGTGTGGGCGAGACCCAGGAGCCCTGATGCCAGGCAGAAGGAGCTCCTAATGTGGTGCCCTCCCCATGTATCAGCCCCTCCAGGTTTTGGAGCCACAGTCCTGCCCTTGGAGGAGCTGAGTGTGCCCCTGGCAGCTGCTTTGGGGGTGGGGGGAGAGGGTCGGGACGTGGTCACCCCCAGCCCACACCAACCTGGCTGGCCTTGGCGTTGACGTTGCCCATGCTGAAGAGCCTCCTGACCACGTTCATGTCATCTTCCTGCTCGACGGCCGCCAGCGCTGCCAGCATGAGAGCTGTGTAGCCGGCTTTGTTCTGGTGGTCCACATTACAGACCCCTGGGGGGACGGGCAGAGCCGGGGGGCCCAG